GACATTAGCCACAACCCAGGGTGGAGTCTTACTTACTAATTAATGTAATAATTTTTACTAAAGTAATGAGGCCATGCTGAATAATAGCATGAAGAATATCTTTCTAACTTCTGCGAGTATGTTTCTGAGCCATACCAGCGATACTTGCAAGGAATTTCTAGTCCATGTCCAGTTTCTCTGTTCACCCTGTTGCCAGGGTGACTGCAACAATAAGAGTTCTTCATCATAGCAACAGCACTGGAGTTCATGTATTAGTTTATTAATTTGTTCTTGTTTTAAAAACCCCTGAGTTAAGGACATCCCTATAATCAGGACACTTTGGGGTGGTCCCAATGGTGTCCGCATTTCGAGGTTCCACTGTAGATGGTTAGAAATCTCATTAGCTGCTAATACATGAAATAGAATTATTTATTGGCTGGCAAGCATGAACAAGATATTAACACATACATGTACATGTATGTGTTAATACCTTGTATTCTTCTCTTCTGATATTCATTAACGTCCAGTACTGACTGTACTACCAAATCACCAGCACTAGATACTAATAATAATAATAATAATAATAATAACTAGATGAATGTAAAACATTGATGGGGCGAGCCTAAGCAATTAAAGCAATGTACATACAATAGATATTGACAGACTAACAATACTCATGACAGTGCAACTTAAGCAGCTCAGAACTTGATTGAGTGCAGTGTAGTTCTTGACCCTTTGTAATCAAATCAAGTATAGCATTTGGAAAGCATTAAAGATAGCTAGAAACAGTCACTGCACAAATGATATGGCTAGATAGGCAACTGTAGCAATGTAGTCCATTCAAAGTCATTCACATCAACAAAAATGGCATATCTGCTTTCTTAACATTCCTTGCTGTTGCTTTGGACAGCAGTATGCGAGTACAGTAAGTCGAGTTGTCAGCAAAAACAAGTTTCATAGTTACTTTATTGCATCTATAACCTTGCCTGGCTGTTGGAGAAGCCTTTGGACAGAATTTCTGCCTTATTTTGCTGCTAGAAAACTCATGACTTTTCCCCGTGTGTTGGTCGCCATTTTATTTCATTGTGGCCACTCCCGCTTTTAACAAAATATTGAAAACTGAATTTATATACCCTTTTCAATGCATAGCATCTACCATATTACGCATAAATAGGGGTGACGTACGTGTACAGACAGACAGACAGACAAACATACTCGTCTTGTTTATGTGAGGCGAGCTTAGGCTCGCCCCAATAATTTGTCGCATAGTTAATTAAGAGTGGGTGTGGCTAAAAGTTGCCCCACCCACAAATACACACACTATCAAAATTTAAATCTTGGTAGAATTCACACTTTTAATGCTATACAATAAATTAATTTTAGTAGGCGTGTACAATCGTACATAAAGCCACACCCCTCACTCATTCTTTATTGTAGTACTATTATTATTACATATTCAATACACATTGTATCTACTAATGTATACATGTACTTACTGATTTCAATAAATCTTGTTTCACTGATTGATCCATCTCCTCCAAACTCAATTATCCAGTGAGTGGTCTGTGTCTCATTCCAAACTGAGAGAGAATGACCCTTTCTATTAGTGACACTGTCTAGTATATTAGTCTATATAATTTAAAATAATGATAAAATAATATATCTGGTTAATAAAAATGATTTCTCTCTCCTCTTCCTTTCTCCTCCACTGTCAATCACACTCACATAAATGACAACAAGGCAAGCTTCATGAGCTCTTTCTTAAAAACTACTCATAGCATAATCTTTCATTTCTTTATCATATGCACATGTCTATACTCACTAGTTGTACTGTATTAAATTGATTATCATTGAGTGACGTACATGTACAGACAGACAGATCACAGTGGTCTCGTACTAGTAGGACTCTCTCATGCTCACCACAATTATATAATTGGGCGAAGCCCACTAAGATGAGTAGAGTTTGTTTGTATGCATGTATGTCTGTACGCGTACGTATTCCGTATCTCCTCTATATATCCGCACATGCCTAGCAGTGCAATAGATTCTAAATTTCAATATTTCATTGAAAGTGGGAGTGGCCGAAACAAATAAAATGGCGATCAGCACACGGGAATCAGAAGTCATGATTTTCCTACTTCCTAGCAGCAAGATAAGGCAAAAACACCGTCCAAAGACTTCTCCAACTGCTTGAAAAGGTTACAGATGCAATTAAGTAACTATAAAAGTCCTTTTTGTTGAGATAAACTGTGAAAATCAAACAAATGTCACCTTTGTCACTGACTGCACTAAACTGGCCAGCCTCTTTATATCTTATGGCTATTTTAAAGTCAGTGTAGCAAGGCTTAAAGTAAAGAACAAGTCAGGAGTTTTCTACCAGCAACATAAGGTTGAGATTCTGCTTTTTTTCCAGCTAATAATCTACGAAGCTGAGCCCTTTAATGTTTTACATTGTTTCTAGTACTTACCAGTTCTTTCCATTCCATTTTGTTTATATTTAACAACCAACAGTCACTGGTACCCACTCCACCCACCACTAGTAGGTGTGGTCCTGAGCTACAGTTGATCAATACACTGGAATGAAAACTTCTCTCCTGAGGCCATTGTACTGATCCTCCAGGATTAGAAAACTTTGTACATTTCTAAAATATTAAAAAATATTTAATTATCATAAAACACACACACAATGCATTAACTAATACTTCAGAATAAATACCGTAGGACTATATACATGTATTCACATGCAGTAATAATTAAAAACCATGGAAACTCAAATGCTATTTTAATTGAAAATGGTGCAACATTGAAACAGTTATTTTTAGGAAATCAAAAATTAAGACCTTTTCACCAAAAGTATTAAATTCTGTACCTTCAAAATTTACAACTTATATGGTATCCATTTAAGAGCATACATGTAACTCTACCCCACTACTAAGGCCCTCCCTCATTGTTTACACAAGTAAATGTAGCTATTATTAGTGACTGGTTAAATTAGGGTTTTAAGTACACCTGTAAGTCACAATTAATACACATCCTAAGCCTAAGGTAATTAATATAATTATACTAATAATACACTCACCACTGATGTATCAGTAAATTCAAATACATATACATCATTACTGTATCTACCATCACCAAAATAACCACCAAACAATATAGTAGTGGTATTAGTTATTGATGTTAAACTGAAGCCATTAGTAGGAGGTGGTCTGTCTCCAATGACAGTTGGTGAAGTCCATTTACATGTACCTAAAAATAATAAAAACTAGGGAGAATGCAGTGCATTAAGGGGGCGAGCCTAAGCAATTGTGCAAGGCATAGATTATCTATGTGCTGTATGATACATGAGCAAGCAATGCAACTGTACAAGTCGAAGGCTAATACAGTAGATCTAGTCACTTCAACACTCAAGCATCCGCTCAGTCTGCAGCAACAAACTTATCTTATTGATAGCATTAAAGATGCTTAGAACTATGAGCAGTCACTGCACAAATCATACTTAAAGATTGTGTATCTGCTTTGTTAACCTAGGCTTGCTGCTAGAGAATAGAATAGATCACCTAGAATAGATCTTACCTAGAATAGATCTTACCATGCAGCTAGGCTACAGTACATGCAGCTTTCTCACTAGCATTCAACTTATCAGAGTCCTTTATACCAAGGAAAAGACTGTATATCTGCTTTTCCAACCTTTATTCTTGCTAGAGAAGTTTTTAGACAGCAATTTAGTCTTATCTTGCTGACTGTTTGCTGCAAATAAGCTTAGGCTTGCTGATAGCCGCCATTTTATTTATTGTGACCACACCCGTTTCAATAAAATTAGTCTATTTAACTTTAATAATAGTTAGACGACCTGCCCGTACATACACACATACACTTTCTCATCTTAGTTGGGCGAGCTCAGGTTCGTCCCAATAATATGAACACAGAAACACACACACACTGCCCTCAAGTGGTTCCTGGGCTCAAATAGACATCCTCCATTGGCCAAGATATACCGTATAGCTTGATATTTTCATTGGTCGATATTTTCGTGGTTTGTTCCTAGTGGGGCAATTCGTGGTTTAATTTTCATGGTTGACAGTTTACATAGCCTGTAAGGGGATGGCACTTCAATGATTTCGTGGGTTTAAATTTCGTGGGCAGCCAGCCCATAACCACGAAAATCACGAAATTTACATTCCACGAAAATTTCAAGCTATACGGTATCTACTGCCCTCCATTAAATGACACATTATGATAAAATGGTGGAACACTACTAGTCACGTACACTATGGCTACCTTGGCTCAACTTAATCAAGTCTACCTCATATTGTATAGACTGTGTGGTAGCTCTTTATGGCAGATACCAGACCCTCGACCTTGGTTTCAGCTGTGGGTCTGCTATCTGCCATAAACAGTCTAAATACATCAATTTAATTACTGTTTATATAAACTAGATTTTTAAACCTAAGATCATATTATACTGACCAGTTTTTAATCTGTACAAATGCACTTCATTGCACCATTGATGACCACCAGTTTTACTGTACCGGGCACCAGGTTGTGGTGGGGTATTATTAGAAGATGGTCCCCACCCTCCAATCACTGCAAGATAATCCTCATCTTTCACTTTTATTGCTATCATGCTGGAGCCAGTCTTCATCATAGGACCATGATGAGATGTAGTAGGAGAGAGTTCCTTCCAATTGAAGGTATAAACATTAAAACTGTATTAAATATTATATAATAATTATCAGTAACTATTATGTTTACCTGTATAAACTATTGTGATAACACTCATCATGACCACAACTGCCTCCAAAAAAGAATATTTCATTTCCAATGACAGCAGCAGCATATCCACGGACACCAAGAGAAGGGTCACCAGTGGTAGGCTTTTGTACCCACTCACCAGTTGGTACATGACAGACCTCCACTACAGAACACATTGATTTCTTCTTCTCATTATTGTGTACTTCAGGGAGATCAGGCTGGTCCCCACCCCACATGTACAGGTAGTCTCCTACCTGTACTGTAGAGTGAAGCCTCCTCTCCACTGGTTGATAGACTATAGATAACAAAAGGACACAGTAATGTAGTGAATAGTTATAATAAGGAGAGGATACAGAGCAGTAATGTAAGGGAGAGAATAAGAAAGAAAGAAAAGAGAATAAAGTTACTCACCTTCCATCTTCCCAACACTAACGCAACACCATGGCAACACAAAAATTAAACACAGGTGTTTATTTCAATGAATCTTATCTTGGGCAAAAAGAGGTGTCATAGCGCGTCATAAGAAATTTTCAAATCTCTGTAGCAACGCCATAGCAACAGTAGGTAGGAATGTTTAGAAGCATGTGACCAAAAGGGGAAGCCCCCTGTGGCCACAAAGCAATGCTTACTGTATAGACGGCAAGATGGCCTACAAGAAGATACTTTATTCGAGCTAGAATCACTTACTATTGTTGTTATACGGAAGGTTAAAGTTTCATATGTAGCCTTTAGTGTCTGGATCATAACTCTATGCCAGAAGTTTTGCCTGATATGGCTCTGGTTGGAAGTTATAGGCAAAGGATGGCTCTGTTGCTCGACGGTGAGACCCAACTGCTTACAATTTTTTAGAAGAAGATATAAGGGTAAGAATTACTGTACTTATTAATGAATAATACGAGTAGTAATATGCCTGTAATATCATACAACAACCTTTTAAAAGGAAGTATAAACCATTTTGCAGTGTGTTTTGAATTGTAGTTAAGTTTGTAACTGGTTTATGCTGTTAAGAACTGACTTAAACGAGAAGGTGCGGTATAAAAGGCGGGGCCCTGGGCATGGTGGCTTCCGTTTTATTCACGTGTAAAAATGTCGGCTCTAGATGGTGTTGCTTCTTCAAGGAAAAACGCAGGAAGAAAGGGGTTTTGGTACCAAATGGACTTCCATTTTACTCTCAAAGAAGACAAGGACCAGTTCTAGTTGGGCTTGATCGAGTTAAGGGGTCTTTAGGCACTAAAAGAAGGCGCTGGAACTGCTGTCCCATTTACTCGCCGATTTAGTTTAAAAAGAGAATCATTCTGAGGCTCTATCACATGATACTAGTAGTTATTCTGCTATGCTCAATACTTCAGGTAGTTATAATGTGTTTAAATTAGTGATTATATATAAATAAGGTATGGGTGATGGGGACGAAGAGCAGCCATTTTGTGCATAGATATAGGATCGGCTGTTGGGAAACATACATTAGTGTTAGTGTGGTATGGTTGACCGAAGGATGATCAGTTACAGACAGGTATTCTTTGTTAGTATTATTATTAATATTACTATTATTATCAACATCATCAAAACTATTCATAATTTTAGATCGTCATGTGATTTGTGCTGAATTTCGATTCAATCCCAGTTGTGAGTCCTGTAATCGTAACTCAAGTCTATTAGGCACTAGATACAGAAGTAAGTATTATTTGTAATGTAAAGTAATCATATGGTGGCATTAATATTTTTAGGCTCGTACTAGCATTTTTCTTGTACTGGTATATTACCATCACAGTACTGCCATATTTTTGTCGGCATCACTGGGCACAGTTGGGAAGAGGTACACAGATACAGGAGGCTCCTCACCATCCCAATATCTATTCAACCCTATATACATAATGTTTATATTTTTAAAAATTTAGAATAATATTTTTGTATTTACCTCTTCCAGTAGATCGTTGAATATTACAACTGCTACCAGTACTAGGATCTGAATGAGGACCATGTTGGGGTCTTTTGCTGGAACCACTTATACTTGATGATGGTGGCTGATATATGGTAGTCAGCAGGGCTGTCTGGTCCCAGTGGTGGCGGTTCTTGGGCTGGTTTTCTGTGTAGTAGTGAGGGCTATTCCCTTGCCACTATCACTTATTACCTGCCTGACAGCATCATTGCCCGTGTTTCTTAGGCTGTTGGCAGATTTTTCAGAATATACAATATAATATTTGATAATAATGTAAAATTATTACTTCAAGTCAATTATACCATTTCTCTCCTTGCTATGCTTTCTAGGTGTGCTTGTAGGTTAACTCTCTCACCTTTGCTAATTTTAATGTTTTTATAATGCGTTTTACTAGTGATTTAGCCATGATAAGAACAGTGCCAGTGCGGGAGCCATTTTGTTATTTTCAAATTTCATTCAATCTGGCCGCCATATTGTGCCCAGGGCACCTCGTTTTATCATAGTATCTATGGTTTTATACTGTGATCGACGGAAGCGATTTCATGACGTTGCGTGAATGGTTTTATAGTGCACCTTCTTGTTTAAGAACACTTTATGTATGTATTATATTATTGTTGGTTGTGTCGACACCTTGGTCAACACATTAGCATGCTAAATTATGATATTTCTGTTCTTGAAGTTTGTCTTTGTCCCTTAGGCATTTAGATCTTTGTTACTGTTTACTATTATGGACAGAGAAGCTATCAAT